GAATACCTAGCAGACCGCCTATGCATTAGCCGCTTTACTGAATACCTGGCAGACCGCGTATGCATAAGCCGCTTTACTGAATACCTAACAGACCGCCTATGCATTAGCCGTTGTACTGAATACCTCGCAGACCGCCTATGCACTAGCCGCTTTAAACAGTTGTAGCCAGTTTTGCAGGTACGTTTTCACGTCGGTCTTCGTTGGCCACAGCAGCAGTGGCAGGTCTGTGGCCCCCTGCTTGTTTTGGTCCTAGTAGTAAGGCCAGAAACTACTAGTAGCACCCAGCCTTCGAGTGGAACCGACGGTAAAATTACCAGGTAAAGCCTTAGAAACAGGTGTTATAACACACACACACACACGCACCCTAGGCCTCCAGTCGTACCTTCTGAGAAGGTGGGACTGGGGTGGGTGCCAGGAGGGTCCAATTTCCTTCTGAGGAGGTACTTGGAGGTGTAGGGACAAAAAATAACATTGAACGGAAAACACGTGAATAAACACAATCGAACAAACAACATGAACGTTTGAAAAGCATGTTGCGGAGCCTACAACCAAAGCGTCGTTGGAACGTCATTGAAGCGCCACTTCCAAGCCATGGGTGTAGACTCTTATGACAATTGATGACTCTTATATATAGTTAATATAGACAGCCAGACGCTCCAAACAGCCTTTGGTCCCTCAAAACCTGGGGATTTGAGACCCCAGACCCCTTCATATCAGGGTCCGACCCCTCCATATCCATATGAAGAGGGTTTGCAATTCAAATGTTTTCTAAATCAAGAGTCAAACCATAGGTGGCCTTGACCCTTTGACCATTACAAGACACTCCGTTGGACTGGCCGCCCCACTTACCCCTCTATTCAGTGAGTGTTTGGGTATTGGGTGATATTGTTTGGTTGATGAATAGAGGGAATATCCATGGATTGGTTCCACCCGGTCGTGCATCGCCTCCTATACACAGTCCCCAGCATCGAACCCCGATGTTTCTGGTGAATTCGCGCCTAAGCTTTTGCAGGTCAAATCTTCCTTGGCACAATTCACAAAAAATGTCGGATGATTTGTTAAATCAGACAGATCCAAAGGAGACGGGAGAGTTCCAGCCCACATTTGTAAAGGACATGACACCATATACCTGGACCCTCCAAGGGGCGTCCAATGGACTACCCCACACTACCTATAGGCTTCCATTGGGCACCCCTTGGAGGGTCCTGGTATTTTTTGATTTCATTGGCAACTAAAGAATTGAAGGAAACCACCAATAGTACTGGCAATTTTCACAACTCAGGGTCGGTTCAGGTGAAAACGGGAACATAACTTTTTGGAAGGGGAAATCTATGATTCAGACATCAAACTAGCATAATGTCAGAATTGAAGCTATGTGTGTTAAATCGCACTGTGTGTACAAACAACATACCTCAAAATGCAGATCCTAGCTACACATTTTGGGTGGTGGTTGATATATATAATGAAAAGGAGAGACTCCTGATTCCTGACTTTTTTTGTTTTCAAGTGCTACATCGCCGGACAGCCAACCATAGACGATCTGGCTAAAAAAACAGTGGGAGAGCACAGTAAACAAAATACAGCAAAATGCGGATGCTAGCTCTTCATGCTGGGTGGTGTTCCCTGCACGGAGAAAAAAACAACATCCAAAGACCCAAAGACCAGAAACAATACTGTATATAATTTTGAGATATTTCGAGTGAATAAACACAACTGTTTGCTGTGAAGTTCATTACAGGCTGTAGTGTTGTAGAACAACTTGGGAACTTTAAGTCTGGCCCACGGTTGTTCGCGGTCGCACATGTCCCCGGGAAAGGTTATAGTTCCGAAGATTTTGGAACTACAAAGTCTGGTCGACCAACGTTTACGGTCGTGGCGGGCTCTGGGAAAAATAGTTCCGAAGATTTGGGAACTATAAGTCCCGTCAACGGTCGTTCGCGGTCGTGGCGACTCCGGAAAAGTTATAGTTCCGAAAATTTAGGAACTATAAGTCTGGTCAACGGTCGTTCGCGGTCGTGGTGAGCTCTGGGAAAAGTTATAGTTCCAAACATTTTGGAGCTATAAGTCTG